TAAATTTCTTTGCAATAATTAAACTCTACAGTTAGCCCAATTAACCCCTTGTGCCTAGAAAGTGTTTCTATTGATCTAACGCACAAAAGTTTAGCACCCTAAGTTTCAATCCTACTCTAGCATGGCAATTCTAGGAATGTAAATGACAAGAAATGAATTACTCAAAGTAAATGCTCAAAGTAAGAGAGAAGGAGGAACGCGGCGATGTTTTGCCGAGGTATCGGAGAGTCGCTACTCCCCACTAGTCCTCATTGGAGCACCCGCGCAAGGGTGTAGCTCCCCCTTGATCCGTGCAAGGATCAAGTGCTCTCTACGGGTTGATTCTTTGACTCTCCGTCATGGTGAATCATCCACAACCACTCACAACTTGAGTTGGGTCATCCACAAGCTCTCCGGATGATCACCAAGCTCTCAATCACCACCAAGCCGTCTAGGTGATGGCGATCACCAAGAGTAACAAGCATAGACTCTCACTTGACCACGACAAGCCAAATGAGAAGGGTGGATGCACACTTTGCTACTCTTGATCTCACTAATGAGGGCTCTCTTTGGGATTCTCAAATCTCAATCACCTCATTAGGACCTTGCTCTTCTTGGCACTCTCAAAGGTGTTTCTCAGCTGTTGGAATGAGCAAAAGTACCCCCACACATGAATTGAGGTGGTATTTATAACACCGGCTAAAAAACAAATCGTTATGTGCCTCTACGGGGTGACCAGACGCTCTGGTCATGTTGACTGGACGCTCCGGTCAGTTCACCCCGAACTCCAGTGTTTAAAGTGTGATCGGACACTAGATAGCGTCCGGTCATGATTTTCCCTCTCTGAAACCTTACTGGAGTCGACCGGACGCTGGCCCTCAGCGTCTGGTCACTTCACCTCTCAGTGTCCGATCGTACCAGATGAAAGCACCTTAGTCAAATGAACTGACAGAACTCTACGCCAGCGTTCGGTCAGTATTTGACCCTCCATTCACTTTCAACTCTCGATCATACGTGAATGAAGTTTGCTTCATTGGATCTAAGGGCTATTTTAGAGCTACCTAGTGCTAGTTTTAGCAAGTGTGCACTACACCTAACCCACTAGACTCACCTAGGTCGAGTTATCTATCCATACCCCCCTTAATAGTACGGCCAAAGGAAAAACAAAGTACTAAACTACTCTAAGTGACTCTTCAACACCAAACAACACTTAGAACTAGTCCATCCTTAACCTTATTGTCCATCATTTAAAAACCGAAATGATTTCCATCGTAGGGGCATGACCACCATGATTGCCCAATCGATCTCCATTACCATGACCTAACTTAATTGCCTCTGCAAAACACATGTTAGTCATAGTAATCACGTATTGTCGTTAATCACCGAAACCCAACTAGAGGCCTAGATGCTTTCACTGCTGACACGGGCGACAGAGTGGGCGGGCTAGCTGTTTGGCCCCCCGTCTCGTCTCAAGCATACACGGTGCGTGGGTGTCCCCGGTGCCGGCGTGGGCGCCGCCCCTCCCCGGTCGTAGCAATTTTGTTTGGATTTGTAATTTTTTCAAAAATTTCTGAATAATTTGTGAATAATTTGACATATATTTCTCTGATGTCTGGAATTAATAGAAATAATTTGTATTTTTTTTTGAAAAAATTAGCATATATTTGTGTTATTCCCAAATTACATCGCTTTGTCCAATAAATTGCACTGAAAAATCATTGTAAATATAGTAATAAGGCGGTGTAAATATAGCTATAAGACAGTGTAAGTGCATGAGCAAAAATTTGGTTGATGGGAGGGGCTAAAACAACTGATTGTTGGCTAGCAAAAAAAAACGTTAAACCATAAAAGTTACTCATGTCCTAAATTTACATATAAATTACTCACTTGTGCCATTACAAGACAGTGAGACATAATTTAAATCATCCCATCAGTTTACATTTATAAATTACCTAAAGTACCATTATGATAGATAATCTAATTAAACCCTTAAATTTACATTTAAATTCCAGCTTCTACAAATATTTGAATAATCTAACCCTCAATTCAGCATCTAAAATTACCAATATCTTCTATTATAAAAAATCTTTATATAATAAACTAATTTATTTTTCTAAATTACCCACTTTTACTACTAGTAATATATAAAAAAGTAACCAATGTAAACAAACTTGTTGTACCATTATGTAAACCAAGTATACATTCATGTATATGTGATAAATATTTATATTTTTATATTTCACCAATCATAAAATGTACTCTTAACAGCTCATATATGTAAGGTGTGACTTTAGATAAGTTTATACATTTTAATCAAAACATTATGACATAGCAATGTGGGAGGTTAACACAGATTAAGGTGGTTATGGTCTCCCAAGTAGTTGAGATTCTTTTAGAGTACATACAACGATTATTAGGCTTAAATATAATCTTTTGAGGTAAGTATTGTTGGTCTTTTCAAGATCTTACTTCAAGTTGTATTGAAAATCATAAGTGATGTGGTGTAGGCTTAGATGTCTATTTATGCCATTTTGGTAATTTAAAGTCTAATCTATGATTAAAATCCATATTTTTAATGATATTTAAAAGGGACAATTGTCTGTTGGATATCCAAAGTAATGGTCATTTGCTGGCGGACATCCACTTTGGAGCATTTTGCCATAAGATACTCTGGTTCAGTGAAATTAGGTCATAGGACACCGCGGACCGGTTGCAGCCGGTTGAGGAGATAGAACAGTGGTGAAATGACATTTTTGCCCGTGCCGCTTTCTTCTTCCTCTCTCCCTTTCTCTTTTTTCTGTTTCCTGTACCTACAGCCCAGCCGGCGTCGGCACCGGCACCGGCAACGGCTACTTGGGCTCCTCGGTAGCCGAGCACAGCCACTCTGGCTCTGCGTCCGCCGCAGGGCCTTCGACGCGCGCACCACCATTGGGAGGCCTCCATCGACGCCCCCGCACCCTCCGACGCCGTGACTGCCGAGGGCCTCACCGAGAGCCTGCGTGTGAAGAGGACTCCGGGGCGTTCCTGTGCTTCGTGGAGGCCCGCGGCAAGGAGGCAAACGCACTGTGGGCCGAGATGCCGCCGGCGCTCAAGCTCTGCGTGGATCCCGCCGAGATGCGCTGGCCCCGCCCCATCACTATCCTCCGTGCAACCGAATCAGGCCGGCTCTCAGACTCGCACGGCGGCGACGTTGCCCTCGGCGCGATGTCGCAGTGGCTGCCGTTGTTGCCAGATCATGTGAGGAACTCCCAAGAGCAGCGGCTTGACAGAGAACGGACCACAAAGCCACATAAACTAAAGCCACTAAAGCGGAGCTAGCGTCTTCGACTTGTGGTACCGGCGTGCACCCTGCGGAACGACGGGGCGGGGCCAGCGCGGCCGCTCACGTGGGGGCGGCGCGACCAGCGTGAGCCGTGGGCGTTGGGGACGACGGGCTAGGGCCAGCGTGGGGCGGCGCGGCCAGTGCAGCCGCCGGCGTGGGGTGGCGCTGCAGGGCCAGCGCGAGCGGCGCGATGGGGCCGGCGTGGGGCAGCGCGGCGTGCCCAACGCATCTGCTCGACGACGAGAAGTGGAAGGAGGCCAGCCCGAGCGATGGCACCGCAGCGCCATGACCCCTCCGGAACGAGGCCACCCAGACACGATGACCTCGTCACCAGCGGTGCCTCCGTGGTCGAGGCCGTCGCCATGCTCCGCTCGCGTTCCGTCTGGCTCGGCACGTTCGCGAACGAGGCGGCACTCCACGCGCCACTCATGCACCACCCCTCGCTGCCATCGGCACCCGACGACACTGCACACGCCACCCCTCGCCGCCACCGACACTGCCGCCGCGCTGTGCGAAGAAGACGCCCTTTGCCGCGACAGGAAACAGAAAAAAAGAGAAAGGGAGAGAGGAAGAAGAAAGCGGCAGGAGCAAGAATGTCATTTCACAGCTGTTCTCTCTCCTCAACCTGCTGCAGCCGGTCCGCGGTGTCCTGTGGCCTAATTTGACCGAACCAGAGTGTCTTCTGGCAAAATGCTCTAAAGTGGGTGTCCGCCAGTAAAGGACCATCACTTTGTATGTCCAACAGACAATTGTTCCTATTTAAAATGAGAGTTTTGAATAAATAGTACAATAAGAACAGTTTTAGCTTAACTTTGGAAGAAAAAATGTAGAACTAATAAGATTGAAATTTGAATGACCAGATTTATAGTCGTGACATGATAAGACATGTGCTACAATATGACCACCATAACTCAAATTTTCAATTAAATGCATATTGGAAATATATGGAGAAAAACAAATATAGACGGTGAAGAAAAAAATACCGAATAATTGATAAGTTTATCACAACCAAATAAACATTACAGAGTATCTATACAAGTATTGTGTTAGAAAATGAAAACACACAGAGCAATGATAATAACTTTTATTAGTGTAGATATTACAAGAGCTTCATTGCTCCTAGTCTATGCAGAAACATAGTTTGATTGTACACAAAATAATGATGAGAAAGCATAATGTATTTTTCAAATATAAATTATGATGTCGCTATCACTCAAAAAACTTAGAACTTTTTTCTAGAGAAAAACAAGAAAAATCTTATTAAGGGGTAGGCTACAAATGAAACATCGAACCAAAAAATAATTTAGATAGTTATCGAGACACTGGTCAAACTTGGAGTAATTTTGACTGCACTAAGATACATGAACTGAACACATTATTTATTAAGATCTAAGCACTTACAACAATTTTCTTTTGAAAAAAAAAATGCAGTCAAACTGCTGAAAAATCATTTGCCATGGCCTTGCTTCCGACGCGGGCACACGGCTACAGCAATAATGTGATGTCCTACGTTTCTTGTACATGTTACAGAAGGCTACCCCTGCAGTCTACAGATGATGCCCGCAAAGTTGGGGCCTCCAAACAAATCAACAAAACCACTATAGATTGTGTACGTAATCTGTGTCGAGTCAAAAAGAATCACAAGTGGTGCGAGCATGTCTTTGTCTTGCCAATCGATGTGGCAGAGTGGTTCAACCGGTCAGAACAGGAGCGGCTGCTCGAAAAACGACATGTCGTCTCGTGGCTCGTCCTTGGCGTAGTACATCGCCTCGTTCGTCTGCTGGTGCTGTTGCTGGTGGTGGCTCGTGTAAGAGTACGCCGTGCCCACCGCCGCGTCGCCGAACCCGGACAAGGCGAAGCCTCTCTCGGCGGCCTGCATCGGCGCGCCGTGGCCGCCGCCGGCCCCGAAGCCGAACCCATCGGCGGTCCGGACGAGGCTGCCCTGCTGGTAGCTCCCGGCCTGCTGCTGCATCTGATGCGCCGCCAGCGCGGCGCGCGGTAGAGTAAACGAGCGCTGCCGCGCGCCGGGGGCACGTCGTGGTTGTGCTTGCCCTCGTAGGTGGTGACCACCGCGCGCGTGTCGTGGCACGCGCGCTCCACGTGCTTCCGCACCGGGCACCCGGCCGTCGTGCACTTGTAGTAGCTCCTGCGCGACACAAGACGTGCATGCATGTAAGCTCACGCGCGTCGAACGCTTCCATCGTCGAAGCACTAGCATATCATTGTGATGCGTAATAAACAGCGTAGTACGCACCTCGGGTTCGGGTTGCCCTTGACGACCTTCTGCCCGTACTTGCGCCACCGGTAGCCGTCGTCCAGGACGTCGATGTCACTCATCGTTTGCACGACGACCCTCGGCTCCCGCACCGTCCGGTTGTTACCGGCCACCGAGACCCCTGCGTCGCCGTCGCCACCATCTTTCCTCCTGGAAGGAAGCGTAGCACGTTAACACCCATATATAGCCCCTCTGCTCTGATCAGTCACTTAGTTCGAAAAGTTTGGTCACTCACCATCTCTTGGAGTCGGGTTCATCGTCGTCGAGATCGTCCGTGCCGAAGTTACCGGCCAACCGCGAGCTGACGCCGTTGATCTCGTCGTCGCCGCCGAATGAGCCCGACGAGTTCTCGGGCGTGGCCACGGGTGTGCCGGACAGCGCGCCGAAGGAATGCTCGGGCACCGCGTCGCCGGCGCTCTGCAGCACGTACGACGCCGCCGGCGCCGAGCTGGCGCTCCGGGCGCGGGTGCTCTGCGGCTTCGGGTGGTTGTGCGTGCCCTTGTACACGATCTCCGTGACCTGCCCGTCCGGCGACCGCTCCACCTTCTTCTTGGTGGGGCAGCCCGGGAAGCTGCACTTGTAGTAGCTGCGCGGGTTCTCGCTCCCCTTCATCTGCTTCTGCCCGTACTTGCGCCAGTTGTACCCGTCGTCCGACGAAGGCCGGTGGCTCTGGCTCTGCTCGCGGAAGCCGGATACCGCCACGGGAGCCGCGCTGTAGCCGCCGTTGCCGAGCATGTTGTCAGGCTGCGCCGCCGGCGCCTCGAATTGCGCAGTCATTTCCTGGTAGGTCCATGGCTGCTGCTGCTGCTGCATCTCGCCGCCGTTGTACGAGTCTCCTACTCGTCCCTATAACAGTGCAACGCTATTATTAAACATCAAATACTCTACTCTTGAGAATTGCTCGACATTGACTATAGTATATTTGTGATCAGGAAGGAGATCGAATGCGACAGTTGGGCCATGCATCTGTCGTCATGAGAGATGTCCAAGTTTCCAAATAAAGTTAAAAAAAAAACATGTCAGCGTCTTAAAACAGGAGACACGTTAGTACTACTACAGTAGTACAGGGGCTACAAGCTACAGGCAACTGCTAGAGACGAATTCGTGGACTTTCTTTTTTTTTTAAAAAAAATAATTCGTGGACTTTCTTGATTGGAGCTTGCTGCCTGCCTCTATATTCAGATATTCTACCGTGAAGTACTAGTTCATGTTAATCGCTTACCAATGGCGCCATCAGCACGGATGACTGCGGAAAGGACGCCGTGTGCGCTGCACCGGTCATCGTCGACGTCGCCGGTGCGGACGCCGCCGTCTGGAACGTGAAGTCGGTGTACTGCCGCTGCTCGGTCTTTACGCTGCCGCTTAGGCTCTCCGACGTCCCCATCCAGTTGAAGGGCTCTGACGGGATCGCGCCCGTCGTCGGCGACGGGAACAACTGAAACAGCAGGAAAATTAACCTTCGCGTTAGCCACGGACAGGTAGCAAACACATGCTCAGCGCAATATATAAACGGAATGTTCATGCATGCACGCCGGCGGCTCCGTGCTTACGCTGGGAGTGAGGAGGATCGGCGAGTCGAGGATGCCGGAGAACGCGTGGAGGTAGGACGACGGCGACGCCGGCGGGTGCGACAGCGGGAGGGAAGGCGGGGTCATGGCCTTGAACTTGGACAGCCCGACTCCCCCGTTGTCCGCTCCGCCTGAAGCTGAACCACCGCCGCCCAGGAAGTTGGCGAAGGTGGTGGTCGGGAACGAGAGCGCGACCGGTCCAGAGTTAGCCAGCGTTCCGCCGAAGCTCCCCGGCGTTGAGGTCATCGCAGGCGAGGAGGGTCAGAGGCTGCAGGAGAGGGAGACGAGACGAAGGGAACGAGAAGCAGCCGGAGCCAGGCGCAGGATGCCAGGATGGTGGTGATCTCGAGACCGACCGGCTGCGGCCTGCCTATATAGACGTTTGAAAGTTTGACCGCTGACTGGTCAGCGGCCGGGGGGCGTCTCTGACTGGCGGCTGCGCGGCCACACTTCCCCGCTCGAAGATCCTCACCCACCAATGGGGGGACGGGAGCGCGTGCTGCCGCCTACGTGGCGGCCCCGCGGGCCCCTGTGGCTGGCCGGTGCGGGTCGGCGTGCGCCAGCGGGAGTGGCGGTCGTGGATGGTTTCTTTGACCTGCTCAAGGGTCCGGGGCAGCGATGGGGGTTAGGGGCTTAATCGCAGCGTGCTGATCGGATTAGTTTACGCGAGGGTGAATCAGAGCGTATCTATGCAGCGGGTGAGCGCGGCGAATGGGAGGACTGCCCTGCGTAGCAAAACGTCGTAGATAAAGTGAGCTCGGTGTGTTTTTAAATCCGGTTTATTTCCAGCTGAAATTTCCACTGCTCTGCTTTGTCAAAATGGGTCGTGATCGATCTTGGAATCGGTTGAACGGTTCTGCAGCTGAATTTTTTGTTGCTCCGTTTATCTGGTAGGGTTGCAACTTCAGCTAGCTGCAGTTGGAGTCAGATGACTCGGAAACGGCGATTATCCTGGATTACTGTATTGTATTGCTGGTAGAGGTGGAGCTATGGATGATCGAATTGGTATGGTAGCAGGTAGCTTGACCTGTTCTTTGATCATTCATTCAGGTACTAGCGTACTGCCAAGAAAGAAACTTGTAGTGGCTCGCTTGACTTGCCTTAAATGGCCTCGTTAATTTTGGTAGAATTTTTACTGAACCCGGTTGAAAAACATTTTTTCTTTGAATTGTTGTGAGAGAAAAATATCATTGTTTTGAAAAAGATCGCCAATGTCGAATACGGTAAAGTTCGAACGGGGCCGAAGCCATGCGTGCAGACAAATTAGCTTCAAACGCACCAGATCTTGGCAAACAGATCTCAGGCTGATGTCGTCGTAGCTGAGGACCAAAAAACAAACGATCGAGTCCACGGTCTCCATCACGAGAGATCAGTTAAAGCCCCGAAGGACGGACAGCGAAGGGCGTTAACTGAAGTAGGGACGGGACGGGACCCCGACACTTCGCAGCAGCGCTACGAAAAGAAACGTGACTGGCTGACTGCCTGCCGTGCTCGGAGCGTTTCGACAAAACGGACGGACCGCCCGTCGTCGCCGCGCGCGAGGCACGTGCGAGACCGACCTGCGCGGCGCCGTGGCAAGTCGCACGCACGGGCACGGACGCGGACGCGGCTTCGTTTACGTTTACTCGCGCCAGTGAGTCGAGTCGGTTCAGACCCGAACGGCAGGCAAGCAGCTCGGCACGGAACGGAACGCATGTGGTTCTCTCTTCTCGAGTCGACGCCTAGCACGGTACGCTCGCCTCGCCTGGGCGATGATGATTCTCCGAAGACGGCCGGCCGGCCGCGGCCGGGACGGTCAAGGCGTAGCGGGAGGTGCTGGAGTAGGCGTTCCGTTCGTGCCACCACCACCAAAGCTTTCTGAGAAACTGCCAGCCTCTCAAGTGGAGGCAGGCAACGCGTAACGTAATAATAAGAGCTGTTCTCTCCATGCATGGCTCTTGCTTGGGAGGAACAGGGAGATGGAAGAGGAGAAGCTGTGCTTACTTGAACGGAGAACCGGTCGTCATGGATCCATCGTAGTATATGATCTTCTGCTGGTCATGATGCACTCTGAAAACCATGTTCTACCACAAACATACCTTTCATTGACTTAGGTACGGGGATGAGAGTTATTTATAACTCAATTCTTTTCCCTCTCAAAGGGAAAAAAATGCAGCACATCAGATGACGGTATGGGACTATCGGTGCGGAACGCTTCAAGCATACTCTGTTCATCCCAGATCAGAAAATTTGCCATTGAGCAAGAGATTCCTCAGGCAAGTCATGCTAGTAAAATAGAGAACATTTTAAAGTTCTCGCAAGAAAACAAAACATTCGATCATCGATTAGTAGACTAATTCATCATTAACAACGACAGCTATTGATCTAATCTGCTATAAAGCAAACAACTTTGCAATTAAAAAATGTAAAGCCCCCCCACACACACACACACACACACACACACACACACACACACACACACACACAAAGACCATATACCAGATTCCAGGTGACGATTTTGCTAGGAATCAAATACTTCCCTTCGGAACTAAAATGAAAACAGATGATGATGAAATGGGTGGTGGTGTTGAACTCGTCAAGATATATATCCTGGCAATCTCCTGTGCATATCCCCTAGACGAATACTTTGCTACTGAACCAGGAACTGAAACTGTCATGCTGAGAACAAATAGGTATAACAGGACAGGAGAGAAGAGAGACCACTTTGAGCACTACAATAAAGGGAGATGCCGTGATCACTGAAGAAGGCTTATCCCAGAATCTATAGAGTTTTACGACGAGAGTATGGTGGAATGAATGTGCATGTAAACAAAGGCCGAGACAACAAGCATTGCTGGAATTGCTGCGACAAATGGACAGACTATCAGCAGCAGCACACTCCTGTTATCATGAACACGTCAACAGATATTGAACAGCAAATGAGAGATCTATACAACAATTGCACCTCACATCAAAAGCAACCGTGCATGACGGAGCTGAAATGCAGAACAGAACCGGACAGTCTATACATTTCTTAAGAATAAGAAAGAGTAACAGCACAGGAATTTTTTCTGCCGAGGATGTATTTCCTTTACAAAAAAAATATACATATCTCATAGGGACGGTAACTGCTTCACTGGATCACCCCCGTGCCATGATCTGGTCCACCTTCTCTCTGAAGAACAGATGGAGCTGGTGCCTTCATCACCCTATCACCCTTTGTCGGTGAACCACCCTGAGGCGAGGAACCAGATGACCTGCGTGGGGCTGACGGGCTCTCCAGGATAAAGATCGATGGACTAGCATTGCCGCTCCTGTATGGCGAACTTGGACTCGACTTGAAAAGGGCCAAACCATCTTCACGCTGCAATGGGGACATCATTACGCGGGGGGTTTCGCCAGTTACTTGGCCTGTGTGTGACTTGTCCTCTGTGATATCGTAGTAATCTGCGGTCCTGACTTCCTGAGCAAGTGAGCATGAGCAGCAGAACAACCACTGGAAACAATCCGATGCATCTGGGTTGTGGCAGCAGAAGTTGTTTTCAGGCAGGTTGAACCTCTTCCTCATCTGAATTCTCCAGAAGCCACCATACAGTAAACCAAAAAAGCACAGGAAAAGTCCAGTGAGCACCAATGCCAATTGAAGGGATCCATTGTCAACATTGCCAGCTGCAAGGACGAAGATAAAAAATGGAGCCAGGCAAAAGAGCAGAAACGTTGCAATGTGGACATACATGTTACCAAATCCAAGCCTCTGCATATTCCAGCCAAAGACACAGCAACTGCAGAAAAGTGTCAAATACGCAATAGATATCTGGTCCCAGAAATCCATTAGTCCGCCAACCCACTGAGGCCTTCTCTCCACAAAATGGCGTTCATCACTCTGGATGAAAGAGTATCTCCTCTCAAATGACTTAATCCGTGAAGTTGGCCTGCCGCTCTCAGTTGAGGTGACATCGATTTGTGCTTCTTGATCGATAGCGGCATGTTCTGTATCATAGTCCTTCCCAAGAGGGCTGATGATATTGTACAGACCAGCGAATGCTGCAGCCCCAATTGCAACAGAAATAGTGAGGCCAACACCGATAGGAGGCCGTTGAGATCTGCGGTACCCTAGGTTTAGACCACACAGGGCGTACTGAGCAAAGCAGTTCAAATTAAGAAGGATTACAACCACCATCATGTGCATCCACTCATTAGGTTTATATGTTCCATTTTTGCAATATATCTTCCTAAGCCTTAAAATGTCCTTAGGCTCCCATCGACAAAGAAGAACAAAGTTGTAGATCCGTTGTGGGTGTTGATAAAGGCACATGAGCGTGAATAATGCATTCAGGATTTGGTTGTTCACTTCAAACCAGGTGTCCCTTTGTGATTTGCTAGGCAAAACATGATTCAGCATTCCAGTCATAACAAGGAAGAGAATTGCACCAGATACAGCAACACAAGCAATCCAAACAAAAAGGGCCATGTTCATAGGCTCTTTTATCCAATTCTTGGCCATCACCCACAGGTGTTCCCAATTAATCCTCCTGATAAACTGGAAATGTTCATGGCTAACATGGTTGTCCGAATGGACCGAACGTGAGAACTCATCCCGTTGAAGTGCGATCTGTTGAAACTTGAATGAAGGGGAGGGACCAAATTTCTTTAACTGGGGGCCAGTACAAAGGCGATTCCAAAAATTCCTAAACCCACTCCACCGCTTGCCACTTTGCGAAACACCCTGAGTGGCAAGAGTGTTGACATCTGTTGCGCCTTGAACATTGTCCGAAGCTGTTGACTCTACTGGTTGAATGTCAGCTTTGAGATTTCCATTACCATTGGAGGCCATTTTGTTCAGCTGGAGATGTTGAGTGTCAGGTTACAAATACAATTCGCCCCCTTTCCACAGGGTAAGGCACCCTATTTAACACTCAGACTGGAAGTGCCATTTTCCACAGAAATGATTGCTCTCTTGTATATATACAGAATGCACATACATACTACTGGCTAACCATTTCTGCAAAAACAAGAACCAGTCCAAAAGAAAGGAAATGACAGTTACTAAAAGCCGTTTAATACGAACTCATAACTTGCTCATACAGAAACAATTTTTCGAAGCAAGTGTTCATTTTAGTGAAATGTCACGGCTAAGGAAGAATGAAAGAAATTGAAGTTTCTGAGGGGGAAAAGATCAGGTATGCCATATCATAAATGAAACCTTGTACTCCCCTCCATTCCAAATTATAAGACGTTTTGGCTTTTCCAAATGCATTACTTTTACTATGTATGTAGACGTAGTGTATATCTAAGTGCATGACAAAAACTATGTACCTATAAAAGCCAAAATGTCTTATAATTTGGGATGGAGGGAGTAGAAAGAACTAATGAAACAATGCAAAAGTTTACGACAAACTTTAACAATTAGAAAACACATCTCCAAAGTATTATGTAAAACAATTCTGGTTCCAGAGTTGTGCAATCCATGTTTGTTGATTAGTAACTCGTTATCCCAGTAAAAGCAGTCACGCTAATTAATTTCACAAAATGTCCTGCTATTCCTACCCAGTTCCAATATTTTCAGCGATCCCAACAATTATGCTCTTGATACCTTGGGTCCATGCTTCTTAACAAACATTATCAGGCTGCTCGAACCGAGTTATATCGATCAAACACAGGTGTACAGAACTGAAAATGTGTACAGATATAGCTCTAGAGAAAGAAATAGAGGATGCCCTAGGACCAACTACATCTTAATCGCTACGTGCTCGATGCTCTACCATTTATGACGTCAGTCAGTATTGAACTCGGTTGACTTGAATCTGCTGCGAAGCCGACACCAAAGGATCCCATGAAATCCAAACTGATTTCTAGACAGATTTATGTACTACCAGTACTAGTACTAATGTAAAATGGTGTTTGGAAACAGCACACGCAAAAGAGGAGGTATCTACTAAATCGACCGATTGCCATCTATACCTTAACAAGGAATCCATGAAATTCCTGCGGGGATGAAGCAGGCACCAAGCCAAGAGCTCGCTATATTGTTGAGTAAGCGATCCATCGATTATCCATCAGGAGCAGCGCTCAAGGAGGTAAGTACGGAGGAGGAGGGACCGAGGGAGCGCTCACCTGCGAGCAGCAGCCGGTGCCCGGAGTGGCGCGCAAGCAAAGGCCGGGATTCCTGCCTTCCCCAGCCGCCGCCGCCGCCAGCGAAGCCCAAGGGCGGATTGGCCGATTGGGGGAGGAAAGGAGATGCTCCAGCAGCCGCAGAGGCATCTGTTGGGGGCGCCGCCGTTTGCGAACAGCGTGGGAGCGCGACGAGTCAACGTGGCCGCGGGGAAAGTCACATTCCGCGTTGCGTTCCGCCAACCCCCGCAGGCCAACAACAGGGCTAACGTCTTAGGGCCCTTTTGGAATTTGGAATAGAATAGAGTATTTTTCACGGGCAAAAGAAATCTCCTTCCTCTGTGTTTTTACTGATGAGTGATGACATATAGCGTTTTTTCAATAGAAAAAAATCAATTTCTCGTGTGATATTTCCTACATTTTGAACACCTCTTCTCATGTACGTATTTCTACGTTTTCCCACCACATCTATTATCTTTTTGCGTGTTTTTTTTTGTTTCTTTATCTTCCTCCGAAACACACGCGGCTCCGCTCGGTCGCTGGCCTACCTGGGCAGGCGGGTATCGAGCGGGGTAACGGGCTAACGGTGAAAACGCCCGCTTATCTCTCTCCGTGCCGTCGCCGTCTCACTCAGTCACGGTCTCTCTCACCCCTTGCCTGGCGGCTGGTGGCAAGGGTTGCAGCCTTGCAGGGACGGAACGTCGCCGCCGTTCCCACTTCCCAGTTCCCACCGCGACAGATCTGCTGAAGACCTTGGGGATGGGATCATCAGATCACGGGAGTCAGAGCCTTAGAGGTCACAGGCGAGGCAAAATTGCTGATTTGCTGTGCTCGTCTAGATCCTTTCTCCAGTGTTCGTCTTGTTTGACGAATGGCGGTGTTCTGGCTCGTGTTTTGGACGCGACCACAACTACAACAACAAAAAAATACGCTCGCTTCTGTCGTTTCCGCGGTTCCCTCATGGGTGGCCTAACTTCCGCTCTGTGGGTGCGCGGTTTCTTTTTTCTACTCGATATTTTGGCAAATAATTATTATCGTATTAATGGTGATTGCTCTAATTGCTCTAGACGACTAATGACAGGTTAATCACCTTAATGTTGTAACTGCGTGGCTATTTACTCACCGACGTGTCATCGGCGCCGGGAGAGCAAATCTCTGAAGCTTACGCCACTCGTGTCCTTGCACGGGGTAGGGGCCATATCAGTTTTTTGGGAAGCGTCACGGTGACTGCTCGTTGAACGTCTTCTTCCCTCTACGTCAGTGTTCGTGGATCTCCATCGAAGATCTGCTTCGTCTACTTTTGCCATATCTCTAGGGCCGACAAACCCACTGTAAGCATGCCTATACTTTCTATGTCGTTTGTTCTTGCGTTCCTTCTATTACTAGCCCTAGAGAATTTGAGTTTGATTCAGATCGTAGTGCCAGTGTTAAATTGCACACCTATACTATATGTTATTATTATTGTTCTTTTCTTCAATATCGAAATTAATTTATGCGTCACCAGATTGCTATTATTTCCAACGGAATTGGGTTCGCCACGGCGTGGCTGCTACCGGTATGATCCTGCTAGGTTCATAATATCGTGCGCCATTCTACGTAGTGTCCAGTGGAAAAGGCTGCTTTGTTATTATTTTTGGGTGAGTTTAAGTGTACCTTTTGCCTGTACTCCAAAGCAGAAGGGTTCCAATTTCCAAAAGCTGGTGATGACTGATGAGTGGAGTTGAGCCGGTGCGCGACAAAATGGTCCAGCAAGGTTTTGTACCCGAAGCAGTCCTGGTCCTGGCGAGTACTGCCGCCATGCGCACCGCACCAAACGAGTCCTCGACTCGTATCCATGGATGGATGAATGTGCGTGCATGTGCCGCGACCTGATTGGGCCTCGCTAATACCTGGACCACACCACCCGTGCCCACTAATGGGCCTGTTCTCCGAGAAATGGGACTGTACGGCCCGGCGTGCCTTTCCGATCCTTTCGCTTTTGCCGTGTGGCCCAGGTTAGTTCTGAGTTCTGACCTCGGAACAGTCTTACTAGTAGAACATTCTTACCAGTGCTACGAACCTCTCGTCAAATCAAAGTGCTGTCGTCCCTACTGATCATTTGAGACATCACGGACAAGTTTGGTCCATGTACTAATACTGTCAGCATTTTCTAATTTTCCACCGAATTTCAGTAAACTCGTCTAAGGTTAGGTGCTTAATTAAAATCTTTGCTGCACTTACAAGTGAATATCCCTAATCTTACTATCCTAAGGACATGCGAGTTTTTTTTCTTTTTGAGAGTGTTACACAAAAAAAAACTTTGAGTGTGTGTTACACAAGTTTGTTATTTCATTCTGAAATAACATCAATTCAAAGTTTGTCTACGGGAGATAGCGACGATTTGTCGTTGCTCTCGTATGTTTGTTCTTCTTCGATTCAAGTAACTATCAACAACGTACATAACCATGATATTTCTAATATTCATGGATCTGATTTCCATTTGAGCATGGCAAGTCGTCCAAGGGTCCAAGTGAAGAGAAAAAGGGAAAACAAAGGCACCCATTTTTTTTTTCGAGATGACAAAAAGTTAATACACAATTGAAATACAGAGAAAGCGACCGAACCGAACCACGTTGTTGGTCCCAAGCGTAGGGTGGAACGTGCCGGCTAGGCTACAGTGGCGGAGCCTGAGCTAAAATCAAGAGAGGGCCAATTCCATAAGCTCGTGCCACACCTAACTAGATGCTACTACCTTCCAGCTTGCGCTTGCTCCATGAACCAGAGAAGCCAGCAAGTAAGTTGAAAAATGAGATGAAGTGCTTGTGCATATGTAAAACTTTTTTGATGACATCGTGGATGAGCTCCAACATCATTCAATACCATGCCTGCCAATGCTTTAAGAAGAGAAATGCTTGCGAAACATATATTGTCTTTACGTAGTATAGCAATTATTGTAGGCAGCAGCAACCAACTGTCATGGGAGCTAAAAAAAAATATATAGTGCCTGATAGCAGTTGCAGCGTTTAGAATAGAATGTATTGCTAGCCACAGTCCACGTCAAAGAGGCTATATATCTTAATAAATTTTAATTCAGCATATTGCACCAAGAAGTCCAACATATCAAGTATCAAGCATTAGTAACAAATAACTTTTCTCCTTCCTACACATAGACCAGGGAGGGAGGGAGGAGAGGAGTTCAAAGACTTCAGGCGCATATATAGCAGTGTAAGCCAATTTTTTAATCGAAGCACCGTATGCTGAGTTCGGCCAGAGGTGCTGGGATAGCACCAGATGAAAAATTCACTTAAATATATTGCACTTAATAACGTAGGTAGCAGCTGCTCACGTTTCGCTTTTTCAGGAAACTCACTTGACCAAGGGGGGCCGCAGCCCCCTATGGCCCTCACGTGGCTCCGCCCATGCTAGGCTAGCCTATTACATTACTGCCAACATGTATTCCGATCGGTCGATTGGTGTGTCAACTATTTGCTACAGCCTCAGCTACACGTGCATTCCTAGTGACGTATCATTTTTTCTGTCCATGGTGGTTCGACACGTGTGCCCGTTTCATGGGTAACATGAGGAAGATCTGCTTAGGCCTGTTTGGTTCTTAGACTGAATTTTAGCCCCTGTCCTATCGAATGTTTGGACACATACATAAAGTATTAAATATAGACTAAAAAATAACTAAATACACAGATTGTGACTAATTTGCGAGACGAATTTTTTAAGCCTAATTAGTCA